AGCCTTGTTGTTCGTTGTGAATGATGGAATGAAAGTTGAAAATTCTTTCAAGGCAGGCTATCTTATGAAATTGGAGAATAAAATGGCAGAGTTGTTACCGATAACAGATTTACGTGGCTCTCCCCATATCGAATCAAAGATTAAAATATGGAAGAAGCAATTGTCTAGTATGCTTGCTACTAGTGGGTTTGGATGGAATGATACTGACGTAGAGAGTGATAGTGTATGGAAGGCATATGTTGGGTAAAGTTATCTCCTTTTAGTTATTTACGTACTATTGTATATGTATTTTAACCTTATGTTGTAGATATTAATTGGGATTAGTTGGTCATTGTAGAGAGACAACGATGCAAAACACCCGAGGAACAAAACTTTCCGACATTTCGGTGAATGGATTCAAATATTTGACAAAGATCGAGTTACAGGAGAGTTTACTGAAGGCGCTGCTAATGCAGTTGAGACTATAAATGCTGAGGAAGATGTGTTGTTGCATGGTCTTGCAAATAATAACACTTTTCTGTAAAAAATGGGATTAAATAGTCAGACCAGTGAAGCAATAAACTATTCAAACTCAGCAACTCAATGGCCTTCTGATAATTCTGCCAAAAAGAAAGACAAGAAAAGACCTAGAGCCAATGATGAAGTAGTTGAAGGGCTGACCATGTTTGCTGATAAGTTAGTGGATGTCTTGGGAACAACCAATGATAAGCTAGAATTCATTGGAAAAAGAATGGGGTATTAACATGATCTTGCATCTAAACGAGCATCACTAAATGATGAACTTACGAAGTTGTCCATTACTGTAGATGAAAGGTTAGATGCTTGTGAAATCATATTCCACGATGTCCAAAAGCTTGACATGTTCTTCAGCTTGACACATGATGATAGGCTAAAGTGGATGATGGGGTTGCTAAGTAAGCATGCTCCATAATAAACTTGTTGCATTTCATATGAGTGTTTTCCTTTTGGCCATGATTTGATATACATGGTAGGGAATGCTTTTTGTTAAGTCTATTATAAACTTATTGATAGACTTAATTATTGCTTCTTTTGTGTACAAGCACTCGTATTTTGTTAACTATAATTGGAATGCTTTTTATATATTTGGTTATGTATTCAATGATAACTTTTATCTTAACGTTTTATTTTCAGTACAACATTTGACTAACATGTTGTTTGTATTATGTTGTTCTATATCTCAAAAATAAATAAATAAATAAAGAATAAAAAGTTAACTTTATTGTATTTCTGGCATGATGTTCCTACATTTGTGTACATGTTGGGTTTGCTTTGAAGTCAAAAAAATTTCATATTTGGTGCATTCATGGTATTAATTATACTTAATAAAGTAGTCATAAAATTCAAAAATCTCAACTACAAATTAAAATAAATTTATGTAATTTTTATTACTATTCTATTTATTTAATTTTTTGAAAGTTGTAGTAAAAAAATTAAATAAAATTTATAATTCAGATTTAATATTCCTATTATTTAGTAAATAATTCAAAAGGACAAAATAGTCTTTTGAGTATTTATCTTTTTCCATAATATCTCATACACAAATGGGATTCATTAGAATAGTTCAATCCAGATTTCTAATCCCATCACTAAACAAGCATAGGATACAAATTCAGTCCAACCAAATAGTCTAGGGACAATGTATCCCAAGATTAACAATTCAATGGATTATAATCCTTCCTTATTCAGTCCATCTAAACAAACATATCCTAAATTTCACGTACAACATGAAGAGTATCATCTACATAGTTTTTGTTGAATTTTGATTTTATGTACAGATTTGAAAGAGAAAAAAAAAATGTTTAAAAAATTGAATAAAGTATAATTTTATTTCCTACTATTTACGTTTTAACCCCCTTAATTATTAATAAATATTCTTTTATTCTTTTATTTATAAACTTGTACATTTTGACCAATTCAATTATAAAAATATATTATTTTCACTCCTTCTAGACTCCTTCCAAAAGGAGTACATTTGTATTGGTTTCATAGCTAAAATGTCAATATATACAGGCTCATAAATGAAAGGTAAAATCATATTAGTAATAGTTACAGGGCTCTTAATATAATTAACTCAAAAAACAAATCTATTTAGTTTGGAGTTATCAAAAAGCAATTTTTTTTTTTAATTTTCAATTTGCATTTAAAAATATTTTAATCATTTTTTTTGTTTGTTTTTAGGTCCACTTAATCTTGATATAATTAAAAATATATAAAATTTGTACAAATTTTTTGTAAAAAAATTCATTGAATACAACAAAATATAAAAATATATTGAATTTCATATTTTTTAAATATTTATTGTATTTGGTAATTTTTTTTAAGTTTTTTTTTTTACAAATATTATATTTTTTATTAAGTGTATTTAGATTAGGTATATCTAAAAAATAAAAATAAAAATGGTAAAAATATTTAAAAATTTCACTAAAAACAAAATAAAATAGAAAACTCAATTTTCTAAAAAGTGAATTCAATTTTCTGAAACCAAACATGATATTTTGTATTTTTAGCCACAATGGTAGATATTCTGCTTCAAATGAAAGGGTAATAGACACCCGTATCGTTCTGCATAAATATTTGAAAAAATACGATTTATTAGCAATGACAAGAATTATGACGGTTTTAAAATTGAACCAACGATATTGGTTTGTTAAAATTTTTATTTATATAATATTATTTAAAATAAAATATTTATGCAAAAAACACACACACAAAAGATCATTTATTGAACTCCAAGCTCCTGAGTTTTTTTGTGAGAGAAGAATGTAATGATTATGGGTTGAATGTGATGTTTTGTTTGTTATGGCTAAAATAGCCTACTTTGTTTTTTGTGGCTAAAATAGCCAAAAAAACCTGCAAACCCATTTGTCAAACACAGGCTTAGACTCCTTCCACAAGGAGTGCATTTGTATTGGTTTCATAGCTAAAATGTCAATATATACACGCTCATAAATGAAAGGTAAAATCATATTAGTAATAGTTACAGGGCTCTTAATATAATTAACTCAAAAAACAAATCTATTCAGTTTGGAGTTATCAAAAAGCAATTTTTTAAATTTTCAATTCGTATTTTTATATTTTTAGTAAATTCTTAAAAATACTTTAATCAATTTTTTTTGGTTTGTTTTTAGATCTACTTAATCTTGATATAATTAAAAAAATATAAAATTTGTATAATTTTTTTTAAAAAAAAATTCATTAAATACAACAAAATATAAAAATATATTGAATTTCGTATATTTTTTTTTGTATTTGGTGAGTTTTTCTTTTTATAAAAAAATCACAAATATTATAATTTTTAAGTGTATGTAGATTATGTATATTCAAAAAAAAAATTACGTAAAATATTAAAAATACAAAAAAAATACAGGAAAAAAAAACAATTTTCAAAAAAATAAATCAAGGTCTATTTTGATAAATAGAAAAAAAAATCAGTCTATTAACTTATTGAAGTCACATCACATCTCTACTATTTTATATTTATTTTCAAAAAAAAATTTAAAAAAAATCAAAAAAAATAATCAGTCTGTTTGGTTTTAGTTTTCTGAATTTAGTTTTTCAAAAATTGAGGGCTCGTTTGGTTTGATTTTCTGAAAAAATTTTGGGAAATTTTCTCTACAAATAAGTTTTCAAAAATAATCAAACCAAACAAATTTTCTCAAAAAAATTTCTCAAAACTTATAAACCAAACAAGTTTTCCAAACAAATCTCTCTCTCACACATATCAAATCAATCACTTTTTCCAAAACTCTATCTCAAAATAATTTTCCAAAACATCTTTTAAAAAAAACCAAACCAAACATGTTTTTGTACTTTTTATCTCTAAAACACACCTCTCAAACACAAACCAAACATACCCTGAGTTTTTTTTTTATTTTTTTTTGTTTTTAGTGAATATTTTTAAAATTTTAAGCAATTTTTTTACTTTTTAATATGTACCTTACTTAGACGTATCTAAATACTAAAATATTTATGAAAAAATATTTTAAAATTTTAATAAATACACAAAAATACAAAAAATATATTGAATTTTGTATTTTTTTTCTATTTAGTGTATTTTCTAAATATTTTTATCACAAATATTATATTTTTTAAATATATTTATATTAAAATAATTTTTTGGGATGACCTAAATAAGTGTACTTTTTGTCTTTTTACGAAAAGATGTGCAGAAAAGTAGAGAGATGATGTGATGGAAAAAAGATAAAAAGATAAAAAGATGGATTATTTGAGACTTCCCAAACTTGGCCTAAGTGTGTCTAAAAATTAAAAAAAAAAATTACTTAAAAAAAAAAAAAAAATTCATTAAAAATATTAAAATAAAAAAATAAAAATTTTCTGAAAACTGTTTTTTTGAAAATCAGAACTAAACAAGTTAAATTTTTTTCTCTTAGGCCAGAATCAAACAAGGTATAATATACAAAATAGAAAATGAGTGAGAACACTAATTAGTACTATCACTAATGATGTGACAGTGAATCTCACCATGAATGATTTGATATTTTAACCTTAGTATTATATTTTTTTTCTTTTTTTATTAAATAATTTGAGACTTCCCAAACTTGGCCTAAGTGTGTCTAAAAATTAAAAAAAAAAATTACTTAAAAAAAAAAAAAAAATTCATTAAAAATATTAAAATAAAAAAATAAAAATTTTCTGAAAACTGTTTTTTTGAAAATCAGAACTAAACAAATTAAATTTTTTTCTCTTAGGCCAGAATCAAACAAGGCATATTATACCGAATGGAAAATGAGTGAAAACACTAATTAGTACTACCACTACTGATGTGACAGTAGATCTCACCATGAATGATTTGATATTTTAACCTTTCTTTAATTTCTCACATAAAAAATTTATAAAAAAATCAAAAAATTAATTTTTTATCAATTTCTCAAAATATCATAATATACTGAATTTCCGACATGCACTACTCTTTCCTTTACCTACCCAAAGTGAGGAGGCACCATAACAACCAAGAACCATTTCACACTCAAACCCTCCCTCTTATCCTCCAACTTTCTCTCTCTTATCTATAATCATCAGTTCCTCACTCCTCCCAAGGCCTCCCGAACTGTGTGATTCCCTCTCACTATCTCGCTCTCCCTCACTTTCTCTCTCTAGACATTCCGGCGGTTAACCGTTCGGAATTCTTGCGAAACTAGGGTTCCGGCGAGAATATCAAACCATGGGGTCGACATTGCTCCCAGATCTGGCGACGGAGATCATGATTCCGGTGTGCGCGGTGGTCGGAATCGTGTTCTCACTGGTCCAGTGGCTCTTGGTCTCTCAGGTAAAGCTCTCTGTGGACCGAAACGCTTCGTCGACGACGAAGAACAAGAATGGGTACAATGATTACCTGATTGAAGAAGAGGAAGGTGTCAATGAGCACAATGTCGTCGCTAAGTGTGCTGAGATACAGAATGCTATATCAGAAGGTGAGACTAAACCCTAGATCTCTGGTGATTTGTGCAAGATATAATGGCGTTTGTTGTAAAAAAAACTTGTGTGCGGCTGTTTATAATCTTTTTGGTTGTTGAGAAAATGGAGGGAAAAAATATCGAAATTTGGATCTTCATATCTGTGACGTGTAAATGATAAAAATAGAGCTAAAATTTTGAATTTTGTGTTTTCAAAGAAGGGAAATGGCTCAGATTTCAAATTTTCTTCAATTAGAAAATAATAATAATAATAATACTACCTCATTTTTCGCTGCGTTTTCCTAGTAGCCGAACAGGGTTTTAGGGTTCTGTATGAACAATGAATTTTTTATTTATTTTTTACTGCATTGAGTGGGTTTTGATTTCACATGCATTAGCTGCATTGGTCCCATCCAAATAAAGTTTTTTGGCTTATATGATATGATTAATGATGTGAAGAGTAAATCTACACGTTACATATATGGCGTGTAGTAATGTGCTTTTTGTTAAAAGTTACCCTTTTTATTTTATTTTTTGTTTTTAGTGGGTTTTTTTTTTTTTTTTATTTGTATCAAATTTTTTTACTTAATTATCCGTCTAGAAGTATCTAGGTAGTTTTGTTTGGTTTAATTTTTCGGAAATTATTTTTTATATTTTAATAAAAAAAATTCTTTTTCTTTTCATGTAGATAGATCAAAATTAGATGGATCTAAAATAAAAAAAAAAATTATTGAAAATATAAAAAACATAAAAATATATATACTAAAAATCAATGAAAATTCGAACAAAAATACACACCCTTTTTTTTTAATTTTCCTTTGTTTTTAGTGATTTTATAAAATATTTTAGTCAATTTATTTTACTTTTTGGATGCATTTAGATTAGGTAGTATTAAAAAATTGAATAAAATTTGGCAAAAAATCACTAAAAATAACCCATCTAAAAATAATTTTTGAAAAATCAAATCAAACCAAGCATTTTAAAAAACCCAAAAAACAGTTTACTAAAGCAAAAAATAAAAAATCATAAAGCTAACTTTTTTTTTTTTTTTTTTGAACCTTTTTTCTTCATATTTTTGTTTACTCGAGTAGATTGTAAAAGTTTAAAGTTTCTTCAATAAATAAATAAATAAATAAATAATCCAAATACGAAAAAGACACTAAAAAATCCATCCCTAAACAACCCATCTCTATTGTTCCTGGGTGTGGAGTGCCTTTAGTTGTAGGTTTTTGGCTGAGTGGGCATGTTAGTAGTATGTACTTGGCTTCGTTTGGGTTGATTTTGATTAAAAATAAATAAATAAATAAAACGTTAGCTGGGTCACACTTGGTGGATTGAGGCAGATTGAGAATTTTTTGATCCGTTCTCAACCCACCATCTCTAAAGGCAACAGGTTGAGTGATTATTTTGGGAGTTTCAAATCGATGATTTGAGCTGGTTAAACGGGTTATACATAAAAAAAAAAAAATAAGATTTATCATTAGATAGCATTTAGGAACAATCCCTATCAATTGGTATGAAATCCTACAACAAGAATGAAGACAAAAAAATTATTATTTATTCTAAGTATAAACACAAAATTCACAAATTAATTGAACATATAAACATATGATACCACTCTAAATTATATATAAAACAATCAAATTACAAAATGTATATGCTATGAAAATGAGGCTAATTGTTATATGATTAACGGTAAATGGATTAGAGAGAAATTGTGATGACAAATACAAGGCAATTTTATGTATACATATAGAAGGGTTGGGTCGGTTTGTGGACAAGTTGCCAAATTTTAATTTGTTGACCACCAGCAAACCTACAAATTTTATTATTTTACTTGTCCAACCCAACACGCTCACCTTCTCAAACCACACGAGTTGGTTGGGTCAGTGTGGATTAGTGGGTTGGCAATTTTTTGTAAAAACCCCTACATGATATCACATTGTTCATTTATTACTAATGACTGACGTGCGCCAGGTCATTAATGCCCCGGCTATATGTATTTTTCTTTAAGGCTCTAGCTTATAATCTTTGTATTGTTATATCCCCTGTTTGTGTACTGATTTTAGTGCCTTTTTATACTCTTTTTTTTTTTGGTTCTATATCATATTAAGTTGTATCTTTGTGTTCTGCCACATGCATGCTGTTCTTTGGTGCCTTTCTTAATATTTGTAGTTCATGGTTCCCTAATTTTTTGGAATTCATTATGTCTGAATGTAACAGGTGCTACATCCTTTTTATTTACTGAATACCAGTATGTGGGTATTTTCATGGTTGCTTTTGCAATATTAATATTCCTTTTCTTGGGCTCTGTTGAGGGCTTTAGCACAAAGAGCCAGCGTTGCACCTATAACCCACATCAGATGTGCAAACCAGCACTTGCCACTGCTTTATTCAGCACCTTGTCCTTCTTGCTTGGTGCTATCACCTCAGTTTTGTCTGGTTTCCTTGGGATGAAAATCGCAACCTATGCAAATGCAAGGACAACTTTAGAAGCAAGAAAAGGTGTTGGGAAAGCTTTTATCACTGCATTTAGATCTGGTGCAGTTATGGGCTTTCTTCTTGCTGCTAATGGACTCTTGGTCCTGTACATTACCATCAATCTCTTCAAGCTGTATTATGGTGATGATTGGGAAGGCCTTTTTGAGGCTATTACTGGTTAT